TTCGTTTTTTTGTTTGTTTTTTTTTTTAAGAGGCAAACCATAAGATAGACTTTTTTAAATGTTTATTTTTGAGAGAGAACGTGTGAGTGGAGGAGGGGCACACACACACACACACACAAAATCCAAGGCAGGCTCCAGCCTATCAACACGGAGTCCGACATGGTGCTTGAACTCAAACAGCAAGATCATGGCCTGAAGTCGGGCGCTTAGCCGACTGAACCCCCTAGGTGCCCCTGGTTTGTTTTTAAAGCTCTTGCAACAAGGCAGCATTGCTTCCTACTGAGCAGGGAGGCTTATTTCTGATCGTGTATTGAAGCACAGAAGCGGATTTCGTGAATTAAGCTTGCGTTTTGGGGGAGCATTTATGGTCTGTATATACCGATAGGTCTGCGAAGTGAGCTTTGGTGCAGTTATATTGAATTTGCTGTGAACGCTGTTAAGAAAGTGTAAAGAAACTAAGGAAACTGAAGTGGCAGGGAGCGAGCGCCGCTTATAGGTTGGGAGGGGTGTCACAGTCAGCAGCGTATGTTCAATTTGGCTGTTATTTGAACTCAAAAGTCGTGGAAAAGAGGTTTTTCATTTTTCCAAAAATTGCACCAAGGTAAAGCAGAGCTTTAGTTGATGCGGGTGTGTTGTGCAGGCGTTAGCAGTACTGCCCTCACTACACGCTCATTGGACAGTAGCGCAACCCCAAGAAAAGGATGGTTAGCAAGAACTGTGCGTGCGCTGCTAGCAGGAAGCGCCAATACCGGGTTGGGTTGGGGTGACTAATTCTCAACTGGCCTTGCAGTCTGGTAGCTAGTGTCCCTTTATACTGAACACAGCTTCCGAAGGAAACCACCAACTCCTTGTTTCCTGAGGCTTCTGAAGGTCGCGACGTGGCCGCTTAGTTTTACCCAGAAGGCCACGCGCCAGATGCGGGTAATTTGCATACGTATTCCCCGTCGGGGCGGGGCTGTGGGGGGCGGGGCAGCGGCGCCGGTTTACACGCTGGTCCGCTCGCGTTCTGCATACGGACCCGCCGTGGCTTTTTATTTCCTTTCAAGTGACCGGTTGTTTTCTATTTAAGCTGTGAACAGCTCTTTGCGTACCAGAGCAGCCCTCTTGATAACCAGTGTATTCTTCCGTCGACATGCACTCTCCGGGCTCACGGACGGCGTTTGAGCCAGGAATGGGGGGGCATCCCGGCAGCTGGTGGGCGCGAGCTCAGGCCCCGAGGCCGGCAGCTAACGGGTTCCCGCTGTTTTCCCTTGCAGGTGGTTCTTCTCGGCATGGACATCCTGTCTGCGCTGGTCACCCGGCTGCAGGATCGGTTCAAGGCGCAGATTGGCACAGGTGAGCTGTGGGTAGGTGTGGAGCGGGCCCGCACATTCTCCACCGTCCAGCCCCCAGCCTTCCCTCCGTCTCCCCAGCGCCTCCACTTAGCTATATCCAACCCTTAGAGCTGGAGCCCCCCACCTCTCGCTGTCCTAGCCAAACCCCCTCCCAGCCAACCAACCCTCGTCTCTCCTTCAGTCTCCCCCTGCTGGCGCGGCACCACTGCTCCCTCTCCCCTCCTGAACTCACCCCACAACCGCTGGCCTCACCGCACCTGCTGGCATGTTCACTGTTTCTGGTTTTACCATACCTTTCCGCCGGCTTCTTTCTGTGTTCGTGTTTTCATACACAGTGTCACTGCCTGTTCTTTCTTCTACAGATTAGCCGTCACATTTTAGTGCCAGCCAAATCATATTTGCCCCTTTTGAGGGGCATTGTGTTTTCTCACTTGGAGAAGGCCTGCAAATCTAATACGGTTATATTCTTTCCAGGTCATTATCGTTGGTGTTAGTGTGTTCCCTTTGATCGTAAATGTTACAAGTGCATGTTAAATGACCACTTTGTATTTTGGAGGGAAAACAGTATGTCAGAAAAATGAAATAAAAAATAAGCACAGGTTTCGTTTTAGAGATGACACAGTCATTTCTCAATTCCTGACCTCTGGGATTTCATGGTAGTATAAGCACCAAGCAGCTCTGTTTGTACACACATTTCCTTATAGAACTTCTCCCTTTCAGTTGCTGCATGTGTATTTGTTATTATTATTATTACTATTTTTTTTGCTAACTTCCTGGTCAGCATGCTCTTTCAGACAAGGTCAAGAACTCTTTTCCACTCTGGCACTAACTGTCCATCTGTAAATAAAAACCTCCCTTTTATTTATTTATTTATTTATTTGTTTGTTTTTAAAAAACTTTTTTTTTTAATGTTTATTTTTGAGAGAGAGAGAAACAGAGCTCGAGCAGAGGAGGGGCAGAGAGAGAAGGAGACATAGAATCCAAAGCAGGCTCCACGTTCTGAACTGTCGGCACAGAGCCCGACGAGGCTTAAACTGTGAAATCATGACCTGAGCCAAAGTCAGACGCTTAACTGACTGACCCACCCAGGCACCCCAAAACCTCCCTTACTTTTAGACATTTCCTATTTTATAGCATTATATTTTCCTCCTAAATTAATTATTCAGGGATAGCTCTCATAAAAGAAAAGTTTATGGGAGAAGCAAAGTAAGCCGATTTGTTAGGTGAATGCTCTTGGAGTGCTAGCTGGTGGCCCACACCTGGGTGTGTGGAGGATGGGTGGGGACCTTGACTCTCTCTAGAGCACGTGCATGTACATTATGTAGAATTCACAAGTGTAGATGAAAGAAGGATGGAGTCTTGAGTGCCCGCTCCTCTTACCTCCGGTGAATATGCCGGACCCCCTCCTTTACCTAGATTTCCATTTGTGTTGACTCTTTCCTGCCAGGATCTGCCACTGACATCCATTTTAATTTTTTGCCAGCTTAAAAATGTGTTGATAGCTAGCTGGAGGAGGGTGGGCTAAGGAAGAAGACTGGTATAGGATGTCCGAGCAAAGCACTTCCGGATTCTCAGACCAGCTCCTGTGGATTTTAGTGAGGAAAGTAGAACCGCGCGGATCCGTGGGTTTAGATTGGCGCACATCATTTAGGCCAGGATTTTGTCTTCCTGGGGATTGAAATACCCAGTTGGTGACTGCAGGACCTGACCTCCC